AACCGTTGATTATGTGAACCGTTCCACCCCTAGTCGCCAACATTTGGAAGAAGAATGTTTTCAAGATGACTTGGATAATAGCGCGTTGTGACAAACACCAGATACAGCACTGGGACTTGATCAACAGCCGATACCGCACCGTGACGTCACAAACCAGTAGGTGGCAGTAGTGTTCTTTAACAAACAAAATTACTCTAAATTAAAAACACTTTTAATTTATTGAACAGTATGGAATAATTTTAGATTTATGGTACTTTCAGAAGTTTTAATTCTGAATATGACCGCATTTATCCTTTAAACCTGTCCTGTAAAACAGGGCAACATTGATGATCAATTAGCTCCAACCGCAAAGCCTGTGGTATCTTTTCAGGACCATGTGAGAAGGGACATGACACCGGCTGAAGGGACACCTTCTGAAGGCTTCACATTATGTTAAAAACTTGTTGGCTGCAACTAGTGTTTTGGAGAAGCAGTAAGGCTGAACCATATTTAACACACTGGATGATCAAATAATAATACTCAGTTATAATAATACTCAGAGGTAATAATTGATATTACCTATATCTACATTGTTTAAAGGACAGTGTTAAGGAAAGCTCTGTGTTTAGACCTTGAAGCTTTCTCTCTGCGGTTCTTTTCCTGAGAAGGGATCACTCAGGACAAACTCTTAAAATAACACTTCCTAATGTTTATGTATTAAATAACCATGAGACAGGACAACAGATTTAGACAGAAATTGTAATCTTACTCAGATCAGAGACATTCAAGTTACAGAAGGCAGTGGTTACCAACCAGGCTCACATCTTGTTAAAGTGGCCCTGGTTCACAGTTAAAGGAGCATTTTATACAACTCCAGTCTGCCAGTGATTACATCATTACATCATTACATCATACACACTTGAAGATGAGGAGACATCCATGGTTGCAGCCTTATCAAAATGCTACACATTGTTCTTAGATCAAGGACACCGCTCTCATTCCATTCCCAAATCGTTGCCAGGTACAGAATGAAGATGACTTTTTATCCTGACAGAGGAACCGTCCTAATGAGATAAAGTACTGCGTAAAACATTAGTTCTGACACACAACAGGCAGGTAATATTAGGGATTAACAGACTCACACATCATCAATAAAAATAATCCTAACAACAGTTTGTTTAAGCAGCTGTAGGAAAATGGGTCTGTTGTCCCATGTTGTTGTATTTTGTTTGGTACAAGACCAGGGCAGGAGGTATTATAGAATATCAAAGAGCTGAAATGCCTTCAGGACTCTGGGTCTGACACTGTCTTGGTGTCATGTATTGTTCTAATCTGCCTCTTAAACTGACTTTTAGAGACATACATGCGCAAGGATGAAGTAAATGATGGTCCATGGCAGAGGTGATGGTTGAATAATTTGAGATGAAGTATTTGGTCAAATGAAGGTGGGATGTGTTTTTGGCTGTGGGCAGAAGAGAAGGATGCCCAGCTCGTTCCTGAACTACTCCTGTTGGCTAATGTGTGTAATTTAGCTTTAGCAGAAAAATATTTATATTTAGTTTTTAAATATAAAATATTTTTTTAAATATTTTTTTTGCTAAAACTTTTTATCCTACTTGCTATCTTTTATCTTTACTTTAAACTGATTCTCTGTACTCCTTAATAGTCCCCTGCTTTCCTCTGTGAATGTTTTTTTAGCTTGTAGTGAAAATCACCAGTGATCCAATGTTTATCTACATAGAAGTTTATATAGGCCGTCAAACACTGTTTTTACATTGATAAGAGTGGCGGCCTAGTGGTTACAGCATAGCGCTTGGAATCCAGAGGTTCTGAGTTCAATCCCAACTCCCACAGACTGTCAGTCTGGCTCTCTGAGTAAAGACCCTTAACCCCACACTGCTCCCCGGGCTCCACACAGTGGCAGCCCATTGCTCCCCAAGGGGATGGTTAAATGCAGAGGTAAAATTTCTCCAATGTGAGATTAGTAAAGTTCAATTATTGTTATGTTCTCTCCATGTAGCTGTCATGGCACGTTAAGCAGTGAAGCAGAAGTACTCAGAAGCAGAAATGGCCTCCAGAACAGACTGATTCATGGAAAACAGCAACTCAACTATGATTTGAGCTGCTGTACCAATAGTTATCAGGCCAAATTAAACAGCCCAGAAAGCTGTTTATAGCCCAGCGTCTGTAATTTACTTCTATCTGATCTGCATTTTTTCCACCTCTCAGGGCTTGGTGTCCAGTCAACATCGCCTTACCATGTGTCAACTGGCTGTGCAGTCTTCTGATTGGATCAGGTGAGGCGTCAGTTATCCAACAAAGAAAAAAACTATTATTTTATTTTGAAAGTGTTTTTACTTAGCATGTTAAAACATTAAGTTATGCTTTTTTTTTGTTGCATCATCTGTCATAGACAGAATATTTGTTTGCTGATTTATTCTCTCTTTGAGCTTAAGGCCTAAATATAGATTTTGACCTCATCAGTTGTGCTTCTCTGCAGCTTTTAACTGTTCTAGATGTTTCTCATATAATTGTAAAGGGGAAAAAAACTTGAACTTTGTTAGAGTTAGAAAAAAAGTGAAAATAGTTTTATTCTTTGGAAAAAGTGGGATGAGAGCAGAGTTTCACTGTGAGACTTCTGCACCTGCAGGGTGGATCCCTGGGAGTGTTATCAGGAAACCTGGCAGACCACGTGCAGCGTGTTGGAGCACCATCGTGACCTCATGAAGGTCAGTCACTAACATTCACCAGGACATTAAACTAATCAGGAACTAAACAGCAGCAGAATAACCAACAGAACTTTTTAAGACCAGGAGCTTCATGTGTTCTGTGTCCAACCTGATGCAGTGACAGCAAACCAAATGTGGTCCTTATTAAACCTCTTACAACCATCTCTGTTTCTCAGAGAGTCACCGGATGCATCCTTTCCAATGTCAACACGCCCTCAACCACTCCTGTGATTGGTCAGCCACAGAACCAGACTCCACCCATCTACCAGGACCACAACGACATGAACCATAAGCCCACAGCCAGTGAGTCCAACTGATCCAACCTTGTTAATGAGGGATGCAAAGGAGGACAAAGAAAAGCATTCAATAGCATGGCAGGAACATTAAATTGTATAGAATAGAATAGAATAGAATAGAATAGAATAGAATAGAATAGAATAGAACAGAATAGATAAACATAGTATACAGTAGTAAAGAATATCATAGCACTGGAAAGAATAGATCAGCATAAAACATCAAATCATAGAAGCATCACTTATAATAAAACAGAATAGAATATCATAGAACAGCATAGCAGAGAATATCAGTAGGAAGCAGCAGTAATTTTAGCACAGAGTGATAGAACTAATTATTAGATTTTAACATGGCAATGCAAAAAATAGCATAAATTAACATAGAAATAACAGAATAAATAGAAACTATAAAACTGTAATAAAACTGCCTATAAATATGGTTAAGAATCTATAGATATTGCAGCCTATGTAGGACTGTGACACTATGTATGTTCTAATTAAATCTCTGATGTAGGTAAAACAGTTTGAGTTTCGTCTCTTTATTGATTCTTTTTTTGTTTGTTTGTTTCTCTTCAGTCAAGCTTTGGGGGAAGATCAGTGAGAATTTGGGTAAAATCTGCTGTGTTCGGCCCAACATGGAGCGTTTCACATTTGTTGGTGAGAAAACATCATTTTATTCATGATGATAGACACTGTGTGGAGGCAGAGGTTTTAATTTGCCTAATTCAATTCAATTCAGGTTATTATATAGCGCCATTTCACAACACATGTCATCTCAAGGCACTTTACAGTTCAACCAGATCATACAGTCAAATTGATTCAAAGTCTTCTATCAAAACCAGTTGATTGCATCGACTCATTGACTCAAAGGCAATCCATTACACCAAGTTTGCTTGTAGCGACAGTAGAGAGGAAAAACGTTTTAACAGGAAGAAACCTCCAGCAGAACCAGGCTCAGTGTGAGCGGCCATCTGCTGAGGCCGACTGGGGTTCAAGGAGACAGAAGCAGACATAGAAAAAGAAGCATAGATACAAATGCCATCACCAAACCAGCTCCACAGGTATCCAGCTCCGAGCCAGCTCCCATGTCAGAGGATGAAGAGAGCACATCCAGTTAGTCACAGTCAGAGAAACAGGACTACACTGAAAAACAGGTCGATCTCCAACACCTAGAAACAAAGGTGTTGATGGCAGCAGCACAGCTGATATTTCTCTCCAGGATGGAGTCACAGCCAAACAGGAACAGACCAGATGAAGCTACTATGAGAAAAAGCAGAGAGAGCAGAACGTTAGAGATTGAACTAATAGATTCTGCAGAGTGGGAGAATAGAGATAAAATGAAGCAGAAATGATGAAATGGGGGTCCCTATGTCCTCCAGCAGTCTAAGCCTATAGCGGCATATCTATAGAGATAGCTCAGGATAACCTGAGCCACTCTAACTATAAGCTTTATCAAAAAGGAAAGTTTTAAGCCTAGCCTTAAAAGTAGACAGGGTGTCTGCCTCACGGACTAAAACTGGTAGTTGGTTCCACAGGAGAGGAGCCTAAGAACTAAAAGATCTGCCTCCCATTCTATTTTTAGAAATTCTAGGAACCACTTGTAAACCTGCAAACTGAGAGTGAAGTGCTCTGTTTTTGGAACATAGGCAGTTTATTTGGTTTAATGTAATTAAAATAGCAGGTTGTTTTCAGAGACCTAAATGTTTATGCAGCTTTAAGGACAGAAATAAATATCCAATTGTCTGTTTCAGATGAAAATGCCAACCTGGGGACCACGGTGAGGTATGAGGAGATTGGTGAGTTTTCTCTGGTCCTGAGTGAGATCAGACAGTTTTGTCCTCTGCTTTTACCTCCTACTTTGTCTAAACTCCTTCTTGTCGTGTTTGGATCCAGTAAACATGATGTTTAGAAAGAGAAGGTGGTGTTTACCCAGAAAACGTCATGTTTAGTGAGGACGTGTCTGTCTCTTTCCTCCTGCCTGTCCATCCTCTGTAGAGTTACGCATCTTGCTCCTGTGTGGCAGTGATCTCCTGGAGTCCTTCTGCATCCCTGGCCTGTGGAAGGACAGTGATGTAAGCAAACTGTTGCCCCGCCCACATAGACCTAACCCCAGCCACTAACATGTAACTCTTCCCAACTACATGTGTCTCCTTGCCTCAGTTAGCTGTCATTATGATAAACTGAACGTCTGAAACTATGATTCTTTATTTTCAGATCAAACAATAAAGTCAAAGAACCTGGTTTGATCAGACATTACAGTGAAAATATTCCTCTACTTTGTAAAAACATTTAAAAAAGCTCACAGATATTCCCATCAATGTGTTTCTGCATGGTTTCAGAATTCTGCATAAAGCTTCTACATGAGGAATCTTTGATGAGCCTCTAAATGTCAGATGAACCCATCACATGTGTGTAGATCTGACATGAATTCAATACAGATGCAAACATTCAAGCATGTTCTGTTTCTTTAATATCTGCATCTGGTTACAGTGTTAGAATGAGGCTCCCCCTACTGTTTGAAGTGGTTGATTACCTTTACAGTAAATCAACACGTTTCCCTATTATAATACATTTGAATCTAATGTTTTTTTTCTGTTGGTGAATGGATAATAAAATTAGGATTGATCTTCTTGCTGGTGGATAAACTGAAAGTCAATCTCTGTTGCTCCACCATGAGGTCATCATGTTTTTAGCTCTGTTGCAGGTTGCTGAAGGTTGAAGGTTCTGTTTGCTTGCAGATGGAGGTGATTGTGGGTGATTTTGGGATAGTGGTTGTTCCTCGTGACGGCGTGGACACAGAGAGGATCATGAATCATTCTTCAGTCCTCCGCAAATACAAGGTGGGGGACCCAGATTAGGTGTTTCTGCAGTACGGCGCAGTAAGACGACAAAATAATGCACATTAAAGCCCTGCTGAGTGCAGCCAGTGATTTAATAATACATTTGTGCCAGTAGCAGGTGATTGGGTCTTTCGTTAAGGCACTATCTCAGACTATATTTAACCCCCCTCAACCATTAAAGTGGGGCATACACTGTGCTAGACTTTTAATCATTGCTTGCAGCTACGGTTCACACTGTACAAAGAAACTGCAGGGTTTCGTAGTAGAGTCGGAGTTCACATGTCACGATGTATGTTCTCACACTGTACGTCTAAAAACCAGGTGGGACTCAGCTCCGCAGTGAGATGGCGCTACTCGGACTCATCTATCCCAAAGCCAAAGGACTAGAATAGAAATTTGAAGCTCACTAGAGTGAAACGCGCTGCCTTGGCAATTTGTGAAATTTAGTGCTGAAAGCCCTAAAAAGAAAAGGCGACGACGTATTTGGACAAAGACATGGCTGAGCAAACGCGGCTACTATGGTCTGTCAATGTTGCAGAGAGAACGCTTTTTTACTTCTGTGTTTTCTTCTGAGAGAAAGACGAAGAAGAATCTTTGTTTGCCCACTGAGCGATTTGCCTATGACCACCTCACAACGGCCGAATGAATTTAAAACATATTTGATTTTCTCCTGACCTTACGATTCCTGATGGGGAGGTGGTGGTGAGAGGCTGATCGCTCCTCGTTACCCCCTGTATACTACATGAGGCATGATCAGGCTGAAAGTCGGTCCGATAGGAAAATTCTCACGACTGGAGAATCGCCCTGAAAAGGGCAAAAAATCGTACAGTGTATGCCCGGCTTAAGACTTTCTCCAGAATGAATCTTAATGCTGTATCTCTTTGAAAAAATAAAATAAAGGTGAATAACAGCTGATGTTTGAGTCGTTTCTGTTGCTCCTGCTAGTCGCAGGCAGCAGAGCATCTAATTTATCAGCTACTAAACTCCGCCCACTCCTCTGAATTCTGTCTCTTTTCTGCCTTGTCATTAAAACCTTAAAGAAGATCTTAACATAACGTGACCTTTGTGACCTTCTGTGTTTTAGGAAAACATCATTGTGGTAAAGGATGCAACAAACCACCCGATGTCCATCGTCAGCTCAACCAAGAGCAGGTGGGATAAAAACTGAACCAGCAGGGCTGGAACAGGCCAACGTCTCTGATTACTTTGAATTTCTGTAAAACATGTTTAGGTTTTTCACCGAAAGTCTGCATCTAAGAAAAGGGTTCGCAGAATCCACACAATGAGGGATTCTTGAAACAAAATAGCCCAGTTTGTTCTGCTGGAGGTTTAACAGACTTCCTGAACTAATCTAAGTTCCTAAGTACATTGAAAAACGGAACATGGATGCAAAACATTT